GAGATAGGTAAGAATTGACCTTCGGCGCCATCTCTTGAATATTATATGAAACTTTTTCTACTTAAGTTTCGAAGAACCTTCGAGAGGTGGCGCCATAAGTCAATTCTCATAAAAAGAAAGAACAGAATATAGTAGAAAAAGGATAGATAGGATAAGAATTGATTTTCAGCGCTATCTCTTGAGTATTATTTGAAGCTTCTCCTATTCTATAGGTTTCTATATGTCTTCGAGAGATGGCGCTAGTAATCAATTCTTTTATTTCTATCCTTTTTCTATTATTTTCTGTCCTTCCTTTTTGTGTTTCATTTGCGGCACTCTGAAGATGGCGCTGAATTCAATATTTTTATCCTATCTCTGTCCTTCTCCCATTATTTACTTTCCTTGTCTTACTTGCAGTGGGAATTTAAACCGCTCAAAAAGATTTCCGATATGTATCGATTAGAAATCTTTATAAAATTTATTCGATCCAATTTTTATACGTTAAAAGTATCTTATAAATATTTATTTCATATATTTAAATGTAATATTTCATAATAACAATATGTAATCTTGCTAATAACTTCTTACAGACTTTTTATATTGTGTCTACCATTCTTGAATAGATATAAAGAAAAAATTTCAATAAATTTTATCATTTATTTGAATGTAACTAAAAAAGATACATATTTAATTTACTCTATAATATTTTTATCCTATCTTTAATCTCTTCTCACTATTTATTTTTTGATTAATTATCTTCGCTTAATCTTTTGCTTAAAAAAATCTTAACAGACTCTATAATTCTCTATATAATATAGGTATACAAGAAGAATGCGTTGAATGAAATAGATTGTAGAGGATGTAAAAAATATTTCGTCTTTTTTCGAGATCGATTCTATAAAATTTCATCTCCGCTTCGTACCATGTGCGTGATTGCAATATTTTTCTAACACTTCACGCTTAATCCCCTTGCAATTCGACGAGCACGAATGCAGAGGTCGGTAAGGTAGGAACATTAACTTACCGTGACAAGCTCGGATTACCGATACAACCGGCATGATCAAAAGCGTTTGAAAAGTTGCAATCATCGGTGAGTAAACATCGCCACGTGACTGCTCCACTCGACGTTATCCACATTGGGACAGAGTAGGATCAAGCGAAGCGCGAACAGCAAGGAAGACTCGCATAGAAATAACGTAACGGAGAAAGAGCGACGGGGCTCATTGTGTAAATAATTGAAATACTAATCCCCTTTCCCGAAGTATAGTGTCAGTCATCGGTATTTAGGAGTGCGTGCTCGAGAGGGTGTGACCCCGGAACGATGCGCACCGCAAAAGCGGAAAGCAAACTTTATACGCACTCGGCCCGCGGCTGTACACGTGATTTTGCATGCGAATACTTCAGGCTGTTTTTCTCTGTCTCTTCATCCCCTTTACGCGTGGTAAGATGTCTATGTCGGGCATAAATATAAATTTTTCAATGGTCTTTGATAACGTGCTACTTTTATGGAATATTCCACGATATATACGGGAATTTTTTCCATAAAAATAAGGCTTTGATAAATAAATTTTGGAAATATATCTCACGTATAATTTCTTTCACATCATTTTCAACAGAAAAACAAACTATCAACTATCGCGTTTGTTTACAACCGTTCAACGACTTCGTTTCTTTTCTGCGCAACTAAGAGGGCAGCATGAACGAAGTAGGAGGAGGGCACATCACAGAGGCCCAAGGAAGCCGAGATGACGTTCGAGAGGGAAGACGCGATCCACGGGGTCCTTTCGTCCAACAATAGGTAGGTAAATGCGGAACAAGAAGCTCGGAACCTCGAATGACCGCCTACGGTGGATAATGAGGAAGAAATTAGTGGTGCGTGAAGGTACGAAGAGGCCACCTGTGCCTTACCCTCCAGTACTCTTAGCTCTATGAAACAGGCGCTCGTACACACATATATATATAAATCGTCCTTCGCGTCGTCACTCCTCCCACGCCCTTTATTTTTTAAAAAGGACTCGCCTCGTGACGCGAACGGGCACAAAGGTACTCCTCGAAGGCATTCAGCCGGCATAGATCCTCGATAAAACATTGAATGCTCCACGTCCATTCATGTCGTGTGTCGTTTTCCTTTCCTCTCCTCTCCTCGCCTCCTTCTTTCTTTCTTCCTTCCTTCTTTGCTTGTCGTTCCATCGCGGCCCTTCGACCTCGGAAACGCGATGAAAACGACGTCTCTCATCTCGATCTAGAAAAACATGGGCACGCATGATGCCGTCAACTGTGATGTAGCGAGGCTGTCAGTGAATTTCGACAAGAGTCTTCTAGTTCTGTTTATCGGATTCTTTCATGGAAGAGAGAATAATAAGTTGTTCTAAAGGGATGCCATAGGTGTTTCTTGAGATTCGGTCGAACTTTAGAAACTTTTATCTTTTATCGATCGATTTATTTATATATCCTCGCTCCACATTTTTTGGGTTTTTCATTCTTTTGCGCTTTCACGTGCTCGTGCGTTTCTCAGAAAAGATTAATCTTCCTCCTGTTAATATGGAATTCGAAGAGATCAATAAAATTATAATCTTGACTCTCGTCAAGATGATCCACTCGCCTCTTAATTAATCAAGCGAATTATCGCGTGGCCAAATCTGTCCGGATCGTCGGTTAATTAAATCCTCTACTCCTCGAGGATGTTGTGAATGTTCTTCATATTTTACCCGTGATCGTACCGCGTCATCAGCGGTGATAATGGAAAATAATTTGTCATTCCGCGAGGGAGGAGAGGAGAGCCGGATCGCGTTAAGTGATTTGTCCTTGCCATCTGCGGGAGCCGGCCATTATACCCGCGGAGTGAATGTAGATGGCCCGATTTTCGGGGAGGCGGCTTTTGGAGCTCTGTCAGCACGGACCAACGGCGAAATATTAGTGTCAAACAGGACATTATCCATCCACCAGAGTGTAGACGAATCAATCATTTCTCGAGAGTGTATTCTTGAAAAGAGAATCTCGTCTTTGATAGGTATTTTTCTTCGTACAAAATTATTATCATTACTCGTCACGCAAATTAAATTATTCTTCTTCGATTCCTTGCGTAAAACATGTTTCACTGCTTTCCTTTTAAGCAACAAATTGATTAAACAAAAGGATACTTATATATATATATATTGTCTCGCAACATTCTAAATATCTAACAGTGCTCGCAATAACAAATCTTTCTCATACAAATACCTATATATATATATTCTATCCGTAATTCACGTACATCAACAGTTTGATCGACTTGAGAGGCTCTACAGACTTCGATCGAGTGATTCCCCCCTCTCTTTGGTGAGAATTTCACGCGTAAAATCGGGAGAGGAAGGAGAGGAAAAGAGGTCTCGACACCTTAATAATAGAAAGAAGCAAGAGTTGCCGCGAGATTTCACAATGGCGCAGCGGGCGTTCGCGATATAAATATTTGTCTTGGAGAGGAGAAGGCGAGATCCCCGGGTGTGGGCAAGTGCGAGAGAGAGTGCAGGCGAGTCGAAGGGGGCCGAGATATAATGGCTACACAAGGTGCATGGTCGAAGCACGACGTGTGCTGCGCGCGTACGTGAATACGCTAATGCATGTGAGTCGGCACACTCGAGCGAAGGAAAAGAGGCACACTCGAGAAACAAAAAAAAAAAGGTAAAACCTTGGCGCGGAGGATCGGCCCGCATATCTTCGTCAACCGTTTGTGGGAAAGTTTCCGAGGAATATGAAGCGTCGATCGTGTTTCCTTTGCGCCCTTATCTCGCGCGAGGAAAAATTTATCGAATCACGATATGAATTAACCTATTTTAAATTTTTGTTTTTCGTGTGTGCAATTACTGGCGATCTTTTTTTTTCTTGAAAGTGTTAATTATCGAATTTTGCCATATGTATGTAATTATATAATTACATGCGTCGATATTTTTAATTGAAAAGAATTTTGCACGCGATACAAAGTATACAATTGAAAATTTATCAGCTTTCAGAATTGGTGTAATTATTTTCTGACGGATTTCCAGAGACGAACGAACTACGCATGCGAGAGTGGGCGGGTGTTGGAAGAGGCGTGGTGAATCTCTAGCAGCATCTCCCTTAAAGATCTTTCTGTAACGTGACATTGTATGGAATAAGGATTTCTCTTCGATCATTTTAAAAATCCAAAAGGTGAGAAATATTGTTAATTTCACGATGTACACATGTATAGTAATATATTTTGAAAAATTCAATTTCCTTTGGAGAAATGTATTTTCGCGGCACTCGGTTGACCCGAGAAAAATCAAAATCGGCGGGGATCTGTTCTCGCTCAAGACGAATATCACGAGAACGGAATAGGAAAGCTCCATTTCTACGCGGATGGAGAAGGAGAATACGGGGCATAAATCGTGGCCGTGATAATGGAATTCTCAACGGGGGTCGCATTGACACGGCTGCCAAGTGTCGTACCGTAGGGGTAAATAGATCGACGTCGCGACGATGCCAACGGGGGAGGGGGAGGGGCTGTATCAAGAGGGTGGCAACCTCCTACTCGTAGTTACAAACATCTGCACAACACGGTGTGAATCGATTCGCTCGATTTCATGCCCACGTACATTAAAACGATCCGAAACGATCAAATATGTATTTTCGAATCGTGTCGCTTTCCTTTGGCTAAAAGTGTGATATCTTCGGATTACGTGAAATTTTTTTAAAAGAATGAATAATCGAATTTGTCATACAAATTTTATTTATCCTTATAATTTTCCTTCTGCAATTTTAGAATCGATCAATTACATTTTTTTACAAAAAACGAAAAATCTTCGATCGTTCTCGAGGCAACTTTATCATCTTTTCTCTAAAATTTATATCGATAGATATTTGATTCTTTCGCTATATATCCAATGACCATATCTTACGATTAAATGATTAGAAATGGTCCCCGTGCGAACTCTCCCATAAAAGGAACACGTGCTCCATTTTCCCTCCTTCTCGTAGATATTCGGTCCCGATCCTTTTCTCCTATCGACGTTGTTCGCGTTGAATCACGGTTCCATCGTCTCACCCTAGCTCGACCTTCGTTCATCTCATGATACGACGTTGACTGGATCCTCCTCCCTATATGGTAATAATTTCACCGTTATTCGTAAAATTATTGGATTGATTTGAATCTTTTTTTTTTTTAATTGAAACTGTATTTTTGAATTCAAAAATTTTGCACGTTTATTTGACATTTTTCGTTACGCGAAAAACCCTTTGCAATGATAAATGATAATAAAATTATAAAAAAGACTGATTGTATAGAAAAAAAATATCGAAGCAGTTTTTCGATTAGAAGAATTAGCGATAAAAATCTGAACTCAATATCTGTTCGATTTCTCACCTCTCCAGTAAATAGCACGTTTCTCTACCTATTTGTATTTTTCAAGACTTTCGAGTGTACGTGACAAATTGTACGTATACCTGCTTAATATCCGATAATATAATAAAGCGGTACTGCCGTTCCATCAACTTATAACCACGACACAATCGTCGAAAATATATTGCGACCATCTTAAAGATGAAAAGCAACACTTTTGTAAATATGGGATTAAAATATAGTGGAGGAAGTTCGTCGAGTGCCGATTTTTATTGCAGCCACGCCAGGTATCCTAATCCTTTGTGTAAGAAAATGACCGTCAATACTTGGACAGGATTGCTTTTTATTGCTTTAAGCCAGCAACCTCTCATCTGCCACGGACGAATGCCAAGATACCACGTAATCTTTTTCTTTCTTGCGTGCCGCGTGCCGCGCAAATACGCAAATTAAACCGAAACTACGAATCCTTGCTCGATGGACTGAAAATTTGGATGGAAAATTTCGAGATTTCTCCGAGCAAATCCTGCAACTTTTTTGTTCTTCTAAGCAGAAAAAATTTTTTTCTCTTATCTAGGTATGCCCAACCTACCTGGCGAGAGTGTATGATGCGGAAAGCAACTTATTTCAGGTAAGTAGGATCTATTTAATTAAGACTTGGTAATCCAGGTTCAGAAATTGTTTCAACGGAAATTCGATAAAAATATTTTAACTTCCGCCTTTAAATATTCCAACAATTCTTTTATTTTTTTAATATAATATAATTCTAGGAGAATCAAAGGATACTTTCTTTATTTTTAATTTCAATTTCATTTCTCCTCTTTAATACGAATTGCTCTTAGAATCGAGCAATTTCTTTTTAAAGTTAAAAAAGTTGAAGAAAATGAACAGAATAGAATAATTAAAAATTTCGTTGGCAGATTTAGCAGATACAAACTCGTAAATTTTTTAACTTTCAAATAATCAATAATAAGGAACTCTATTCTAGATGAATAATGTGCCATAATCATCTGACAGAAAAATGTGAAAAATTCACATCATACAAATGAAAAATATTCAAAACTTGACGACAGACTACTGAGCGAAACAATAGAGACGTCGATAACCGTAATCGAATTTTACAAGAATAAAAAGGGTAATCTTGGATTCTTCGTTTCGGGAAATTCTCACTTTGTCACGACTTATTACTATTCTATATTGCACTCTGGAGAAAAAATATATATCCCCAGGAATGGCCGTCGTAAAACCGCAACAACGGCACATGAATAAACCAGGATTGATTGTTTGTATAGTAGAAATATAGTTGGTTAAGACCATGGAAAACGGTGGATTAAACATTTTATCCACCATCGACAAGAAATTTTATTTTATTCTCTTTTTTTTTGCCGAAAAGAAATGTTTACGTCCATTTAGGAATTTTAATTTAGTAAATCGAATTTTTTTGTTTACAAATATAGGACGTTTTAATAGTTAAAATTTAAAAATTAGAAATAGAAAATATCTTAAATTATACTCGAAGAAAGATTTATGATGAAAAATGTTCAAGAAGAGATATCTTTAATACAGAATAGAATTAATGAGAATTAGAAGGAAGTAGAGATTTAATTTTGCAACTTTTCTTCGGTAATTTGTCATCATTACGATGTTAGCCATCGAAAAATAAAAAAAATTCAATAAATTGAATTTTCTATTTACGAATATTAGGAATAACTTATTTAATTTGAAAAAAAAGTTTATGACATTAACAATTTAAACATCTTCTACGCACGAAGAAATATACAGGTTTAATTCTTTACTTTTTCCAATAATTTGCCAATTTATCATTAATATATCAATTAATAATTGTAAACAAGAGAAAAACAGTTTAATAAAATTGAACATGCAGAATTTTAATAACATATGCGATTAGAAGTCAGAAACGTCTCATAATACTTCAGAAAACTATTTACGCACGGAGAACAAATTACAGATTTGACTTTGTCGCCTTTTCCCCCTTAATCATCGATCAATCCCATTAATTAAAAAGGGGGAAAAAGAGCAATTTATATCTCTGATAAGTCTCGTATGATAAAAATTGCCTGGAACAGTTATTTCGAGTCGAGAAATCATCTCGTTTACCGTCGATCTACCTGCGACGCGGCGATATAGTTGAAATCTCATGGCGCTTCCGGAAGCGCTTTGTTTGGCGCGGGCGGGCATATTGAATGACGCGGGTATTTCAAACCAAAGAAGCAGTTCGTCAAAAGGCGAATCGGCCGGCGAGGACGCGGATGAAAGGAGGAGGCGAACGGCGAAACGGCGTCGACGAAATTCGAGGAGATCTCGAGGAGGCGAAACGGGAGCAGTGCGGGCCTCTCTTAACAGAATAGGACACGGGGAATAATAACAGGGGACGGGGTGAGGCGTAGGAAAAAAAGGGAAGGGAGAATTCTATATTACGCGTTGCACGCGGGATCGCGCATACCTGAAAAACGAACTTACTTACTCTGCGCTGTCTTTAACAGTTTTTATTTGTCGAAATCATCGATTCGCGTAATCTATGTTATCATTTCGCGCGAAGTGCACGATCATCTCGTAAGAATTTCTTAAAATTTTAACGAACATTGAATCTATAATGTCATGCAAAGATATTCTTATTGATTTTTGTATAATCGTGTATAAGAAAATTTGAATTTAAGAACCACGTATCCTTCGCTATATATGTAACTAATTTTTAATATACTATTTTACAAAACAGTTCCGTTCACTTGAAAAAATTATTATTCGAAGCATCGAGTTATTCGAGAATAATAAAGAACGATCAACCGTTTCATATATTTTATATATTTCTTGTGCATGAAATTAAAATTTTCCATACTGTGATAAAAAGTAAGGCGATGCAATGGGCACGGTGAGACGGAGAGAAAGCTAATGGGGGAGCGGGAGTGGAGAAGGAAGGGACGAAGTAAGTAAGTAAGTAGGTGAGGCCAGCGAGTAGGCTGACAAAGAATCGAGCATCAGCACTGTCAGGGGCTGACAGAGGGCTCGAGTTACGTCACTGGCCGGGCTGTTGTGCTTTTTCAGGGCGGCCATTGAAAAGTTCGCTCACAGTCAGTGCGGGTAGGCGATGCTATGTAGTCGAAGGCAAGAGCGTTAAGGGATCTTTTTCGTTCCAAAGGAGACAAGAAGACGTCTCTTTTTGCCCTTTCATGGAAGAACTGGGAGTGGTTGTCCCCGAAACAGTATGGATCCGCCATACTGAATGCGTAAACGCATGGTGGAAAATGTGCCCCCGCTCAATATTACTTTGTATTCGATGATAGACCGTTGAGATGGAGGATGAACGTTGTATATTGTTGGTTGGAGCTGATCCGAAAAGATTTACCTGATCGATAAAGTATTTGAAAGGAATTTTTTATAATTTTTAGAACGGGAAAGGGTAAAGAAAAGGAAAAAATGAAAATTTTTTAGAGAAGTTTATAGAAAAAGAAACATAGTTTTATTAATAAAATGACGACAATCCTAAATCCCCTTCTCTTTTGTACATGCTCTTTGAAACCTTGAAGATTACAAGTCCTTCACTTTTTAAATAAATTGTCAAATATTTTAATAAAATAAAACAAGTTCCATAATTTTGTTCTTTGACCGGTATAAAAAAAAAAGAAAAGAGGAGAAGAAAATTATCAACTTTTTACCACTCGTGTCGACAAAGGAGGAGAAAGAGAAAGAAAGAAAGAGAAGTTTATTCAACAAGACTCGACGAGAGAGATTCCCACCAACTGTCCTCCTTTTCCACCGGTAAAATAACGAGGAGCACTTTCATAGTTCTTGGACGAGGTGAATGCGTAACCAGAGGCCGGATGTTCCCGCCCAGGATGGATCCACGTCTTGTAAGGTACTACTCTCAAGGAGTTTCTTCGCCTTCCTTTTCAACCCCTCGAGGTGGTAGCGTCTCTGATTTCTGATCCGCTAGCCGGTGCAGCTACTTGTCACTTCGGTGAACGCCCACTTTCCATCGGGAGAAAGAAAACGTACTGCCATAACGTGAGCGTTCGTTACGTTCCATCGTTCGGCCTCCTTTTAACCGACAACTGATTTTCATAACAGTGAACTTCCGCCCGACTAACGAACGTTAGCGTCTCCTCCAGACGAGACGAGAGACGCGTTCCGTGTCTTCTGCTTTTCAAATTCCTGACTCGTTTACAGAATTTTTTCTTCTTCTTCTTCTTCTTCTTTTTCTTCTTTTCCCTCTCTCTTTTTATCGAGATCGCGCGAGAAATCAATAACAATAGCGATTCGACATGTGAATTCTCACGGTTGAGCATTCAGCATTGAGGTCAAGTTTTGTTGAATCCACTTACCAACACTCTGTTAAACGTCATAAATATGACGTCAGATATAATATTCTTTATCACTTTATAAGAACGTATATAAGTTGATATATCAAAATTAATATTCTTCATCATTTGTACTTTAGTTCCAATTCCAACATTAAATACTTTGTGTCTTGATGATTAAAAATTTCGCATGGCGAAGCTTTTAAACAGATTGAAACGATTTCAAACAACTTCAAACTTCGAGCTACCTCGAGCAAATTCAAATTTTCCGCACGATCTCTTCCATAAATCGACAGGAGTCTGATGACGAGTTTGTAGTTTCCCATGTCAAATTATATTTAACCAAAGAGGCGCGATCGTTCACATGAGGCAATAATTCCGCATATGGCGGATTTTGCCGCGTTTCATCAGACAGGATACCCACTTTCCACCCTCGTCGTTCAGGTAAAACGCGGGGGTATCGATGATTCTCTGCCGCTATCGATCCAACCATATGTTCCGCGTTTCCCACAAAACGTTGTATGAAATCGTCGGCTCCTGTTTAGACGAAGGAGCAACAGGTCGTTTGCGCCAGGTCGTCATTGTTCTAATCGCGGCGAAGATAAAACGATTTCGTGCATCACGCGAGCCACGAATCGAGGGTGCTTTCGAGCATGATGTACGATGTGTTAAAATGAGTGTGTGTTTCACCGATTAAGAGCGTGAATTGATGGCTAGTTCAATTTATGGACAGAGATAATAAATAATGAAATAAATTAAATACGATATAAAAAAAAGTGATTAAATAAATAATTGTTATAAAAATTAAGGTATTATATACAACTTGGTATCAATAATCGTTTGTAATTTTACGAAGTGAAATGAAAACGAAGATTCGACAGTAAGATTAAAGTAAAACGTGTTTTATCACATCACATAAAATTGTGTGAAACACAGAAAGTGTATCTATCATTTTTACAATCACCCATAAATTGGAAAAATTCATTGTTGGAAGACTGTAGGGGGTTGAGAAAGATTTAGAGGGACGGGCAGGTGAACTTCATAAAAGGCAGTCTTTCTTGCAGTATATCCAAGGAACAGAAACAGAGTCAGTCCAGAAGCACGAGCTTATCCTCCATTAACGCGGTGCTTGCCGCTCTTCTGCCCTTACGTCCTCTTTTTCGATCTCGAAGCTGGCCGAAATTTTGACCGAGTTCGCTGAGTATTCCATAGTGTCTGCCAAGTCGACCGTATGATCGGTATGGGATTATCACTTGCTCCAATGATCCCATGAACGAGAAGGCGCTTCGACCAGGAAAATGTCAACCTAATTTTGCAAGATCTCTTGCTCCTTGGCCCGGAACACGCCTGGACTTAGGAGGGTCCAGCGTCTTTTCACGCTTAAATACAGGTCGGCTTTGATCCTCGATACTGTAGAACGATGTTACTTTCTGTCGTAAAAGATTAAATTTTTTTCGACAGGATATCCTAATTAATTAATTTAATAATATTCCAATACCTGGAAATACTTAATCAACGTAATTAAAAATTGTATTATATTCCCCAGTCCATCCATCTTGGAAGAATTATTATTTCTCTCTCTAAAGAGGGTGTAACTATAAAGTCTTCCTTAAAACAGATGTCACGAAACGTTCTCTCGATCGGCCCTCCGTTTATAATTAAGAGACGAGCCTCTCGAAACCTTGTTAAATGCAATACCAGTAAAACAAGGTACAAATAGTTGAATAGGTTAGGCCCTAGGATTATCGCAACTGCCACGTTCTCTCCTACACAGATGACGAGATAGCGGTGAAATAAGACGAGAGCAAGAAATTTACCTGAACAAGTTTTTGGATTTAAAACTGCTAAGCACGAAGCTCTATTTACGTCTCTCTCTCTCTTTTTTCTCTCAGCTTCTTAATTACCGTTTTTCAACCATCTTTGGAAGGTACTTTATTATTGTTTCTAACCATGACTATGAACCACCTGTAGACTCGTTACTGATACAACTCTTTGTCTGGAGACAGGTAGTCTGTTCGAATTAACGATAGCATGATTAAGAGTGATGCTTGCAACTTAAAGTGGCTTTGTGCTGCTTATGGATTGACCCTATTATCGGAATCTTATTTCTTAAAATTTATCTGTCTGTGTTCGAAAATGATTCCTTGAAAAATAGAGAATTTTGTTTTCGCAAGGATAAAAATAATTTGTGTGTAATATCAGGAAACAGATTTTGATAAGATGTTGATAATTTAAGCTACACAATTTCCTTTTGATATTTTATTATTATCTTTTTTTTTTATTTTTCTTCATCTTCATTTTTCAAATGTTCGATTTATTTGACCTTGATTTTGAATGGAAAGAAAGCAATAAGATTCTTTGGACAAAGATACAAAGATTTTTATTACAGAATAAAGTTAATTTATATCTAATAAACAAGTTTCTATATTTACGATGTGGTATTTTAAATGTAATTATAGAGAATAAGATGAATGAGACTTTTGAAATATTACTATTTAAATATCTTTGAAAAAGATTATTGGATTTTGGATAAATATGAAAAGTGTTCTAAATGGTACAGTTATACTTTTATTATGTTAGTAGCTATTCTGACAAGTAGTTATTTATTATATTTATTACCTCTATAAGTTAATTATATACGTAAACATGCACAGTGCAGTTAAAATTAAAATTTTACTTTTAAAAATATTCACAATTTAACAATAAAATTTTACCTGGACGTCAAATTTATTGTTAAATGTCTTATTTATAGGACCGAAAATTAACTTCTCAAAACTTTTATATTCTTTTAATCTTTATTTGTATTACTTCCTTATAACTAAGATCAATATTTTTTCAATAGTTATAAAACTTTTAAACAATATCTGTATTGTAAAAATGTACTTTTTAACTTTTAAAATGAATAATAAACGAAATATATATATATATTTTTCAATACATTCAATACATTTTTTTCAATACATAAAATCGATATTTTTTCATTAAAGAAACGGATAAATAAATTTTGATCTTTTAAAATAAAATACTTAACTTCAATCGAGTTAAGGATTATATTTCGAATGAATGAATAATCACATGCCATTTTGCATGAAACGAGATCGATAACATTATATTCCACAATGTAAGCTACCACCACCAATTTGTCCCCTTAAAACGGCAACAGCCCCTCGTGCGTACGACTCACTGGTCACAAGCACTCTGAGTTTCAGTACCAGTTTCTGTAAGCTCACCGTGCGATGCCAGACAGTTGTGTTTCGATACAAAACCTGTAACCAGTTGTTTAGACTGAAATCTACCGTTTTCTCTACTATTTCGATTAAAAACGATAAGACAAAAAAAAGAAATTAAAAAAAACGAGATAAATTTTATTTATTGTATTTAATAATTTTCAGATAAATATAATGTTCAAATCATATTAAACAAAAGAAGAATTTATATCTATGTGATCTTAGAAAAGAATTATAGAGACTATATTACATTCGATTTTCACGCTTGTTTCGAAATCCTCATAACAAAAGTAAAAAAAAAAACAAAAAAAAGAAAAGAAAAAGCTTCGATAGATTCGTCTCTTTTTGTGAACATCCTTCCTAGCGTGCCCCTAAACAATTGTATTTTGATTCTGGCCCTATTACGGACCGTTTAGTTGCATTTGCCTTTTTGACAAAGCGACTCGAATCTCTTCTTCGTGCTTCTGCTTCTCCCATTTATATATATATCCACGTATACCAACGCAACGGAGAATAGAGCGGCTTTGTGAAAACTTCTCGGGACAGTTACGCGGATAATCTTCTCCCTCGACATATTGCGGCAAAGGTAAAAACCGAGCCACGGTTCGGCGAGCATTTGCCAAAGTCGAATGCTTTCATTCGTTGTTCGAGCAAATCGACGGTTTATGAAATGAACTTGAATCTATAATTTTTAACATCCATAAAGTTACCCAATCTTTTACACTTGTAAAAAAAAATAAATCTAATCACCTTACTATCATCGTATTAATATAAAATATTCGTCGCTCATTCGTCGAATATTTCAAATTAACCCTTCCATCTCTCAAAAATTAATCCTCCTCTCTAAACTATATTATCGCATCAATCTCCACGTCGAAGGAGAAAAGAAAAAAAAAAAGAAGAAATAAATCCACCCC